AAATAGCACTCTCTCTCTTCCAGATGAAGAGCCCTGCTGCAGTTGTTCAGAATGACTGTGTCTTCTTCAGTCTCCAAAACAACAGTCTTTCTCAAACTATGCTCAAAGCTGGTTCAGGGCAGAGCGAAGCTTATTAAACACCTCAAGGAGAAAATTGGCATTTTGGGGGGTTTAACAGGGTTTTGAAAAGACTTATTTAAATTACACTCTTAACAGTAATCTCTGTGCTATGCAGCTGTGGCTTACCTTTGTGAGTTGTGTCAGCATGTTTGCCTCCATGTCAGCTTGGTCTTTTTTATTTCTCCATCTCTTCAGGCACAATAGGTTTATAATAATGCCTAGAAGAGGCAGAAGGAAAGAGAAGGTTCTGGTCATGTGGAACCCTTGTGATTCTTATCAGTAAAGCTATAAATCAGCCAGCCTGGCACTCTGAAGCAGCTTTTCTGAAGAGGCACTAATAACTTTCATCATTTTAGTGGGATTTTGAGGTGTTGCAGTTGACTGAAAATACTTTTTCTTTTTCATTATACAAGCACTACATTTCATGCAGTAAACTAGAGGAAGATTAATTTGTTTCCACTAATGTCAGAACAAATTCAGAATTTATTCTGAGTGTGAAACTGTGAAATGAGGCAGCTGTCATAATTTACCCCGTCATTGCTGTGCCAGCAACTTATTGCAATTTGGCATTTGCAGCTCTTTTGGCATTGTATACTAGCATGAATTCTGCCTGCCTGCATAAGTCCAAGGCACGGGTACTGTCCATTTGACCAGGAATAGGGCACTTCCACACTTGCCTTCAGAATCACTTCAGCAAAATGAATGCTAGAGAGTTGCTCTTTCTGCTGCTGCATCTCATATCTCTACAGCACGAACACTGGCTGTGTCCTGGCTGCATTTGCATGTCCTCTACATTAAGCCTCTGTCTTGCTGTGTTCTTTCAACAAAATTATTTCCTTCCTGAACCCCACCTCAAAATTTCATCTGGATATTAAAATCAAACAGTGCTGAATCCTGTGCTCCGAACTACAGAAATTCACCAAGTCTTTATCCTGAAAAAGTGAGGGGTAAGAGAAGAACAGAATCAATCCTTTCAGAAGAGAGGTGTGGTAAAGAGAGACAGAAAGAGGTGGTAGTGTTACTCTGTTTTGGCTCCCATGGACTATAAGATTCACTTGATTCAGATCTGACCTTGAGCCTTATTAGTGGGAGATGGAATTTGAGTCTCAGTATTTGCTCCAGTGAGTATTATGAAAGTATAATGAAAAACTTAACACCTGTAGCAGAACTGACAAATACTACTACAGCAGAGGATCCTACAGACTGATGATTAGGAGAAGGATTCGGGTACATTCAGAGAGGGAAGTGGTGGTGCAGAGTTGTGTGTTTGTCACAGGAGTCTCAAATGGTATCAGGAATCAGAAAAAATTGACAAGGGTTTGACCTCTCCAGAACCTCAGCTAAAGAATCATGTTTACTGTTTTAACCCTGGTTTCTAACATCTACAGAAGACCCAAGAGGAACAGCTTAGAGAGGAAGGAATTAGCAGAATGTTTTCCCTGAGGTGTCTTTAGATCTAAAATGCATTCTGTCCCTTGCTCTGCTATAGTCCAAACTTGGTGATAGACAAGTGGGTAAGAAGTTGCTATGGCACCCAGCATCCAATTCTTCATAGTGCACCAATGGCTACAGGATGTGCACTGGAGTGTACAAGCTTGATACAACATTTTCATATTAAGTGGATGCTAAGAAGCATTGAAAGAAAATGCATTCCCAGGAGGTATTGCTGAGCCGATCTTTGAGCAGTTCTCAATAAGGCTACTACTGTGGTCTGATTGTGGTCATCCTATTCAGGCTGAGTAGGCATTATTCCAGAAAATACACTCAAACCAGTTAAACTTCTCTTGACTTAAGAAGCTGTTCAGCTTAAGTGGCTCTCTGAGCTTCATGTGAAAACAGTGGGATCTTAGTAGGAACAAGAGACAAGATTTGATCCATTGATTTTTCCATAGTGTTCTTGTCCTTTCTCCTTCTATATCTGTTAGCATTTAGTTTTCTTTTTGTATTTTTGTCTTTCATCTTTTTTTTCCAATGCAGTTTTCCAGCTTTCTGTCATTTTCATTTGTTTATAACTTTGCCAAGTTCTTGATGAAGGAGTTGGTCAGTTTTGCACTGAAGTGCTGTAAGTGACTAGAAAGGAATCAAATTAATTCCTACTCCATTTCCTTAATAATTGACCCTTACACGAACTAAGAAGACACATAGCATTTCCTAGTGCTGGCTGGCCTATGACATTTCTAAAGAAATGTTAACTTCCCCTATTATTCTATAAAATATGGTAGTTCATGATTTCGAAGCTGAGAAATGTGGCTGTATGCTTCCAGATGAGAATTAGTATGTTCCTTTCCTTTTGTTGATTGAGTGAGTGCATGTCTTGAGCTGGTATAAGTTAGTACAGCTGCATTGCCTTCAGGGAAGGGCAACCCCATGAAGATGTGTCCATTAAACTTAGTTTATCACATTAACTAGTCTGATATTGAGAAAGGCACCAAACATTTTTTACCTTGTTTTATTCTTCAGTTTTTCAATGTTAGTTTGTAGCTACAAGGGAAGTACTCAGGTGGTTGTTCTCCATCAAATTTATCAGAATCCTGGCCTCTACTACTACAACATCCAAACACTTTCCTGAAATGTTTGTCAGAGACCATGCAAAAACATTAGGAGTGGAAAACTGTCTAGTAACAGATGAGATCTGACTGTAAAATATGATAAATACAGAACTGTTATGGCCTTGTTCTCATTCTGGTTTTAGAAGTGTTTTTATTTGGCACCAAATTAAATGTTAGGGGCCAAGCAGTTTAGCAAGGATCTGGTTTTGGAGTGAGGAGAGGACAGTCATGGAATGAACTGGGCCAAAACACAGTTCTGATAAGCTCTGTTGTGAGATTGTTGCTTGGATACTTTTTCCAGCCAAAAGTTTATGTTTATATAACCTGTGTAGTACTCTAGGGAGGCACTTTTGTAACACAGGCAGCAAAAGTCAAGATGTGCAGGTTTTTTAAATTTAGGGGAAAATACTAAAGACCATTGAAATCTCTCTTTTTGTGTGGAGGGTAGAAACAGGTGAGAATTTATTTCAGCCACCTGCTGTGAAAACTAAAGAAGTTTATTATACCATGTAGTTACAAAAGCTAATTGAAAATAGATTAATTCTGAAAAGCTATTGCTATTTAGATTAGCAAGCCAGTCATCACCTGCCTATGTGGAGTCCAATCTTAATGCTTATGCCTGGAGAATATTGAGGGCAAACTGGAACAAGTGTGTCCTTTCATTGTAAGTGTATGTCTCTTAACTGATTTGCTTTACTGTAAAAAACCCTGCTGTTTTATTTCCTGTGGTGTGTAGGTCACACTAAATTGATCTGGCAGGCCAAAACAATATTTTTAGTCCTATTTATGTGTATGAAACAGAAAAATGTGTTACACTGCAATTTTATGTCTTGCCATGTGTTTTACTATCAGCCAACCTGTTTCTGTCCCTTTTGTTGGCTGTTGGGAGACTGTGTAAAGGCAGTAGCCTCTCCTTCTCTAAAGGCGGCATGGTTGACTGGTAAAACCCGAGCATGGCACTCTGCAGAACTTCTGTTGCAAACCTCCTGTATGAGCTTAGTTAATTTATGGGAAGGTTTCAAGGAAGGCTGCGTGGCACTTGAACACATTGTAGCTGATAGTTTTCTGGTTGAGTCAACTGTATATCTGCCACGTGTTTCCTACGCTGCTCGCTCCTTAATCTTGCCCTGTTTTAGTTAACAACCCGTCAGTCCTCCTCTCTTCTGTAAGTTTTCTGTCTTTGATTGCTGCCCAGTGAACTCTGTGGGATCTTTCCTTTTTTGCTCAGGGCGTCCTAGATAAATGTTTTGTTTGTGAGATTTTTGTAACATCTTCCTTCTGATGGAAGCTAGTTCACATATAACTCAGTGTCTTCACTGGATACAAAAGCTTATGTTTAAGGATGATTTTACTGAAAGGGTTGAGAACTGCACTCTTCCCTTGAGTGCATTCCTGGATTTACTCCTGGTGTTTGACCTACTTTCTGCAATTTACCTCCAGCTGCTTAAGTTTACTCACTTATGCAAACATAGACATTAACATTGGTGGTGTTTATTAAACATGAACATTATCTAGTGAAGGGAAAATGGAGTGGCACACCAGAGCACTATCCACTGGAGAGCATTCTGCAGTGGTGTTATTTCACTGAACAGTATTGCTGGCTTGATGATGTGAACAATTTACCAGTCCCGCTGCCTGCTGTCAGTAGACCCACTTGATCAGTTTACACTTTGACAGCTTAAAAGCACTGTCAAGGATTGCACAGCAGAGATTTGTGAAAGGAGAGGCACACGAGACCTTTAGGAAGGCCAGGTAAAAGTGGAACCACACCTTCCTGGAGAGAATGGGAGGCAAGGAAGCTGACCTCTATTATGGAGATACATTAATGCTTATTTACATCACAAACCATTTTCTTGTTTACCCTGACATATTTTGCAAGAATATCTCTATTTAAGGAAGAGAAGGACCTCTCTCCACATGGCATTAATTCTTTTTTATTCTCAATATTGCACTGAGAGCTAAGCTGTATCAACCTGGGTAGCAGCAATGGTATATCTGGTTTAATTAGGAAACAGATTGGTTTAGTCACTTGAGGACTGCTGGTCCTGGGCAGGGCGGAAGAGGTAAATCAGAGTGACTTCCACATCTGTGCAGACACATGGACAGGACAGTGAGATGTTTGTGCAAATCAGCATACACTGATTATCACTAATTTTTTGTAGTCAGTTTGCCTAGCTGTTTCTTCAGCTTCCATTTTTTAAGTCTTATTAATTTCAAAACTGCTCATAACTAAGGTTGAAGTCTTTCTGTAGTTAATAGCTTTTGATTTTGATGGGAGTTCTAGCATGGATTAAATTGTGGTTTTTTTTCTTTCTTTTTTTCCTTTTTTAGCATCGTAGACAAAGAAGTGTCATTAATGGCAGAAATTGATAAAGTTAAAGAAGAAGCCAGTAAGTAAAAAAACACACAGAGAACTTCTGGAATAGTCATGGAAACATTTGTTTTGTTTGGCAGAAAATTACACAGTACATAAATTTGGTTAGCAGCATTGCAGCATCTTTCATTGTATATGTATACAAATAAATGTTCCAGAGTAGTTTCTGTATGGTTTTGATCTATAAGGGTTGTGCATCAAAATGTCAGTATTATGAAATTAAGGTAAACCAAAAGTTCATATAATGTTAGATTTGAATTACGTATTCCTTCTGCTTACTTATCAGAGCTTTTTCACCGCTTCTTTTTTTTTTCTTATTTCTATGGTTTGTTGATTATATCATTTCCATTTCTTAAGCACTGTTTGCTTGCTTATATTACATACATGACTCATCATACTGGAAATTACTAGGGGAATAGGTTATTGTGTGGCCTTGCATAGCTTTAAGGTGTAGTGATCAAGCTTATGAATTAGAACAATAAAAAAGTCAAAACCCAGATGTTTACTGGAATCTGTTTTCTTAATAATCCGTGGGAGTTGATCGGGTTCCAGGTTTTCATGTCATCTCTGTTTTTTGCATAGGTAAGGTACATATATTCTGGTTTGGGAAAAAACAAGCAAGATGAGCCATGTATTAGTATATGACAGTATCGGTCTTATGCTCCATCTGAGATATGGTATTTATGGCCCAGTAATCAGGGGAATGAGTTTCAACAGAGAGTACTAAGCAAGAAATTGAAGAGTACGTGGAGTATTGTTAGAATGATACTTTGCCTGGGAGATGAAAATATCACTACTATGTATGCAATCCTTTTATAGATTTGTGAATTTAAGGTCCTTCCAAGGAGGGTCACAAATATGTGTAACTTTCTTGAATGCTTCATTTGCATTTAGAACTCTTACACTAGTTAAATTTTTATTTGAAAAAGTAATCAAAATCCTCCATTGTTGACTAAGTCTCTTGCAGTTGTGTATGTGTGGAAGCTAAAAGGTATGAGTTGTTACAGCAAAGACTAGCATTAGTTTGGAATTTTGTGTGCTAACTTTTCTAGTCCTAACATGAAATAGGTGTGGATTTGGAGTTCTGTGTTGTTCTGAGGAGGAGTTGTGGATGAAAATGTATCAGCAGCTTTTTGGTTACCTGCAGAGACTAAGTAGCCATAATCAGCTACAGGCCATGCACTCACTCCCAGGCAGACCAGTGGTGAAATTCCCATTGATATCAACTGGCATGGATCTAAGCCCTAACTGCATAACAAAAACACATTTTGAAAATCCACTGTCTGGGACTGATGGTATCATAGAGGCCCCTTCATTAATCTTGGCCAGGTATAGTAGTAATTTTTGTGGAAATTAAATGTAGTTCTTAACTACAGGCATGCAAAGTGCTACATTTGCACGTGGCAGGTTCTAGTTCCTTGCTTTCAGGCTGACTCCACATGTGCCAGTGGATGGCCCCTGCACCTGTCTTTAACAGTGCAGTTTCTGCTGTCTGTCATCAGGGCTGTTGTAAGCTTGTGAAGTGCCTTCAGAACTTTAGGCAGAAAATTGTTATAGGACTGTAACATGCTAACCAAGATTTACGTTATTATTTATTTTCACATCTCTGCTGCACTGGAGGTCTGTTTTACAATGGGTAATCTTATTCTTGCTGTCAATACTGGGGAAATTTCCAAATATGGTAATTTCAGGTTTTTTTAAAAATAGGTATTTGGCTAGCATCTCGTGCCAAGATAGGTGCCAGTATGAGATGAGATCCTGTGGTTTGGGCAGTCACTTCAGCAAAGGGGATGCTGACCTTGGAGAGAAACAGTAGTAGCATTACCCAGAATAAGCTATAAAGCACAGCTATTGGACAAAGCAAAACAGATAGTAAACTGTTCATTTAATTTAATCTGATAAAAGTTTCTCAGCCTTGTAGACCATATTCCACAAAAATTAAAATAAAAGATTGGCTAGGGAGATAGATACACACCTTTTAGTATAAGAAATAATGTTGGCACAGGTTTACCAACAAGACTAAAGGAACTGTAGCCACCCTCTGCCTTCCCTGCCCTGTGTGACACATGCTCCTCTGTTGTATGGTTTGGTTGCTCCCACCAGCTGTACAGCTGCAACTCTGCCTTCCTATACCTGCTGGACCATTCTGTACTTGGTGAAACACTGGAACAGGTTGCCCAAAGAGGTGCTAGAAGCCCCATCCCTGGAAACATTCAAGGTCAGGATGGAGAGGGCTCTGAGCAACCTGATCCAATTTCAGATGTCCCTTCTTACCGCGAGGATGTTGGATTAGATGGCCTTTAGGAGGTCCCTTCCAGCCCAAACCATTCTATGGTTCTCTGGTACTTTCAAAAGAAGGTGCCATCTGATTAAATCATAATGGGTTGAGAAACAAATTCTCTGTGAAATGTCATTAATTCTTACCTAAAAAATGACATTCCACAATATGAGCTGGTTAGGTGATTTGCCATCTCTGCTCTGGAAAATTGTGGCAAAAGAAGGCAAAGAAGCCAAAGTCTCCACAGGTGTAATGGAGTCTGGCCTTAAGATAGCTTACAACAACTATCGCTCACCCATGCTGTAGGCATAAGCTCTAGACAAAAGACTATGATGGTTATTATTTTACATTTAGATGCTATGTTTTCTCTCTGCCGTAAGTGCTGATTCTGCCACCCAATTATTCAGTTGTTACTTTTACATTGAGTCACCATGTAAGTAATAGAGTTTTCTTATATTTTCCACCAAAATTGTAATGTCTTATTATCCTGCATGTAAGTGGACTGTTGCTTTGTGGTTTATGATTAATCTTTTCCTATAAGAACATACCTATTCACCCCTTCCTTATATAAAATATACAAGATGGGCAGTAGTGAATATTTAGTATTTTTTCATAAAGACTGTTGGCCTTTTCTACAGCAAAGCAGTATTAGAATGGCAACTATGTATATTCTGTACTTGAAAGCAAAATTGCAATGCCGGTGATTTTAACGTAAACTATATAGGAACAATTTTTTTTCAGAGTAACTGAAATGCCCCTGTGTAAATAAAATACAGCATGTCTTCAGAAACAGGCTGTTGACTCAATGTAATGCTGCTTTCCATGTCTCCATGATTTTGTGCTTAAAAATAAAGCACTGGAAAACTCAAAACATGTCTCTGCCCCTGTTTGTCTAAATGTTGAAGGATTGGTTTACCTTTGGTTTTCTGACAGCTATCCCATTTCCAGATCTTTTTTAGCATTAGGCAGTTCATCGATTGAATCTGTGCAAGCAGCATATTGGAACTCCAGTTGAAGTCAGGGGTCCAAGATGCGTGTGTTGCTCACATGTGATGTACAGTGTTAATGCTCAAAGAGTAATGAATTACAGAGCAATTTACCTTCCCAATTAATTATTGACTATTGGTATTTGGCAGTGGAAATCCTGACTGCTCGGCAGAAGAAAGCTGAGGAGCTGAAGAGATTGACAGATCTAGCCAGTCAGATGGCTGAAGCACAACTGTCTGAACTCAGGGCTGAAATTAAGGTCAGACATTCACTTCTGCTTGGGTACTTTTAGCTGTTTGCGTAAATGCCAAGAAAGAGCTGTCACGTTAACATGCCCAGGCTGTTCGTTCCTGCTATGGGCCAAAGGGTAACTAGCTTTCCATGGGGAAAGCATACCTTCTTAAAGCATTATAGCACCTCTGAGCAGTGTACAGATACTATCAGAGAAGTGTAAGCTGTCCCTTCATAAGTGTAGCAGTGGGAAGTTTTGCTCTTTGTGTATCATTTATCAGACTCAGTTAACAAGTAAATGTGATTCATCACTGAACCGGAAACTAACGCATCTACTCCAAAGAAATAACCTGCTTCCCAAGTGCAGGAGTGATCCACCCTTCACTGGGCTGCGAGACATGTAATTTGGTAAGGATGGGAAACTACTTGGTTCTGCAGAGAACTTGTGTACAGGGCAGGGTCAAGAGTTTGGTGAGCCTTAAAGTGAATTCAAGATAAGTATTTATTGGTTTCTGTACCATCCATATAGTCTTTTGCTCACTGTTAACTTGTCTGTATTTTTGCAGCACTTCGTGAGTGAACGGAAATACGATGAAGAGCTGGGCAGGTCTGCCCGATTTTCCTGTGATACAGAACAGCTGAAGACCCAAATTCAACTCTGTGGAGAAAGTAAGTGCTGGTGATTTCTCACACTGAAGTTCTGGGAGCATAGTGTTCCACATACCTGTTCGGGAAATGCCATCAGAAATCATGGTATGTGTACTGTCAATGTGTGTGTAGAAAGCCTGACATGAATGGTATTTCTGGATGTAGCAAGCTTGCTGAACATGCACGAGTCGACTTTACAGTATGCAACACATTAGACTCACTGTACACTTGCTGCACAGTCCATCTGCATGTGCACAGTTACCCTCTGTCAGAGATTTCCAGGTATTAATCAGGTCAGTTGGAGTTTTCCATTTAAACAGGATTTCCAAGTAGAAACAAAAGTCAGCCCTGGGGAACACTCAAATTCAGTAATTTATGAATAACTAGTAAATCAGAGTTTTCTGGGTGTGAGCATAATGTTATGTGACCAATTCAGATCTCTCCTGCTAGGAAGTAACTCCCCAGCAGTGTTCGCTGGGTTTTTCAGGAGCTAAAGGTAGTCCCAGGTGTTCCTGTTTCCAAATCATCTGCCCTTTTGCTTGGAAAATTAGCTTCATTTTCTGCTCCAAGTATCATGTCCCTGTTGCAAAATACAAGATAGCATATTTCTCATCTTTGCCATGCTTATATTCCCCCCAAAAAGTAAAGGCTATAATGCTTTGCCCCAGATGTTACCCTGCCCTGTGATATCCCATCAGTACCATCCTCAGGAGAAAAACTGTTAACACAATACTGAACTAATGCATCTTGGTGGAAGAAAAACAATTCAGGAGGAAAAATAATTAATGTTTTCAAGGAGTTACTAGAAATAGAAAAAAGTAAAAATATCACACAATCTGCCAATATGATATTCTGACTGCACAGCTAAAGAACTGACTCCTTTGAGGTGTAACCAGTTTAATTCATTAGACCATAAGAATTGCTTTTGCAGAACACTTTGAAGATCCATCTAACCCCTGTCTCTCATTGAAGCTAACCCAGGATGTTTCAAAGGAAGGCATAAGCTTCCCAGTAATGCATCTAATTGTTCACAGTCACTCATGGACCCTCTCATACCCTGAAGCTTAAGAGACTGAAAATTCTGTAAAGATTATCCTGACTCATATAACCACAGCTGCTATTGATACAACCATAGACTATTTTTTTAAACTCATTGAACTACTTTCCTAAATAACTTCCAGCTGCAGTTAATTCTGCAAGTTAATTACTTGCTATTATTTCTGTAAAGCATTACTTAAGCATAGTTTGATGCAGACCTGTTGAAATCAGGCCAGTGAAGTTAAAAGAACAGCTATTAGCAGGGAAGCAGTGCCATCTTACAATGACTGATAGTGCACTGGCCATCTGAAGAACTTAGCTCTAATCTGCCCTAGGTGACCTTAGATGAGCAACTCACACTGTTGGCATGTCTTTGATAAAAGCTGTTCCGTATAAAGGTATTTCTGTTCGGAGCATCTCACAATGATGGCCATACCCTGCTAGGAGCTGCAAATACCCCTCAAACAGAGATTATACCAGGCCTGTAGCTAAGAACAGCCACTGTTGAGGGCTTTAACAAAAGCAATAACCAGAACCACAGAGTTTGTGCAAAGGCAAATATGTTCTAGCATGAGAAGAGGGTAGGCAGCATACACTCTCAAGGAAGGACAAGAGGAAACAAAAATAATTGGACTGATGCATCCAGAATGCCCGGTGGTGGGCTGCACCCCTTCCTTGTACATCTGTTTTTTGTTAAAAATACATTTTTATGACAAGCACCTAGATTTGTATGTAGTTTCCGTGTGCAGCAGTCTAATTTAGACAAAAGAGAGCAGTAGAATTCAGTGACAGCCAGCCTCACTGAACTTAAGACAGAAAATGCAGTCCGTTGTGCAGATCACTGCATTGTTTTTCTGAAGAGGACATCTAGTGGGAGAAATAGCTGATGTTGGCATAAGTGAATAAGAGCCTGAAAAAACTTAACAGACGATGCTCATTTGTTAAAATTATTCCGCAACTTCTTTCTCTGCATTGAAAGTGGAAAAATAGAAGTACCTCTTAGATAAGACAACATGTCTCACTGAAGTGAGCCTCTGATTTGCCATCTGTACAAGAAGGAAACAGGAAGATTCCATAATTGGAAAAATCAAACCAGCAAATGAAGATCAAGAACTTCAATAGCCTCATAGTCCTCTTTGAGACTGCTTAGGGGCCATTGCACAGAAGAGGCAGCTTGAAGAGCTTGTGGAAATGCAGAGAGTGAAGGAATCAAGGTTTTGTTTGGTGCATTTCACATCCAGACATGGAAGTGGTTAAGAAATCAGGTGGTCTCAAAATACTAAGATGTCAGGAGCAAGAAAATACTGAGCAATAGCGGTTCGTGATGGTGCTGGCTGCCACGATCCCCATGAAGTGGATTAGTGTATTGCATTCAGTTCCAGTTTTTATAGATATCCATGGTACAGAAGAAGCCTTGTTAAACATCTCCTTAGAGAGGAGCGAGCACTAAACTTTTTCTTTTCCTTCAAAAATATTTAGACATGGGAAGCAAGCTTTCATGGCTGTTACCTGTGGTGTAGCTAGTAGATATAAAGACAGCAAATGTCAGCCTCTTCAGCCTTCCATGATCAAAGAATAATTTGTAATTTTTTTAGTCTGTGGTATCTGCAGACACAACTTCCTTTGACCTCAAGCACTCGAGAGAGTTACTGGCATACCACTCCCTTCCTTCCCATGTTTCTGTGTTGCCTGAAGACTCCTGTTAGGAGCATTATTGATAGGAGAGCAGTGTGTGGGGCAGTGCTGATGGCACATGTGTTCAGCTCAGCTAGTTAAAAGTTCACAAGCAAACCAATAGTGCCGTGAATTTTGAAAAGTTTTGAAAAATCTTCTGCCAGGCTCCTTCCAATTTTAGTGCAGTTCCACCACATTGGCTCTTTTGTCTCCAGAAGTGGTTCACGATGAGGCAGTTTCACATAATTCTGCCCATAGTTGTCCAGCTTACTTCATTATTTAAAGCAAGGCTGGAATGATGCTACCAAAATTAACTGTAATCAGGATAAGAACACAGCCTTATGTTTAGATGTTGATCATTTAACTGATAACGCAGAATACTTTTTTTCATAGTTTCTCACCCAAAGAACAACTATTCCTCAAGAACACCATGTAGTTCAGTGCTGTCTTCAATGACGTCACATGCAACAGCTGGCAAGCAAAATACGCACACCCGGAAGTCCTCTAGTAATGCCAAGAACTCTGATAATAAAACAGCCAGCACTAAAGTACAAAGTCATCTTTCTTCCAATCCTACAGAATCTTCTTCCCAAGGAACCCTGACAAATAAGCAGGTAAGAAACCGGTTATGAACTAAACTAAATTATTTCAAAAATGTCAAAAAAACATGCAGCATCGAAAGTTGTTAATACAAAATCAACTACTGCTTTGCAGTCCGTATATTTAATTAATAATTTTTGAAAATATGCAAGTATATATTTTCCAGCTTCATTTTTAAGGCAGTGTGAACATACAGGGTGGAAATACCAGAAATGCAGTGCTAGCAAAGACTGCTGGCTGGTATTCAGAAGTGACTAGTGGCAGCTGATAGACTGAAAAAGAAGAACCCTCCATAAATAGCTAATTGCCCTACATGCTGTGATGGAGAAATATTTATTCCTGATCCTTCAGAAATTATCAGCTGATGTGCTGTTGAAGCATGATTATTAGCTAGACTTTGAAAGTGGAATCCTGCCAGGTTTAAAAGCATACTGTTTCAGAAGCTGTATAATACAGTGTATAGTATTGTGCTATATTGGTAGCTATTTCGTCGTAAGAGCACCTTAGAATGTCCTTGTACTATTGTGCTTAGGTAATGCTGCCACTGAAGTTGGCCTGAATATGGTCCCGGTAGGGATTTTAGGCTCAAGTAGGCGCCTGAAGGGAAACATAGGGACGTTACATAACACCAGTGCATGTATGGAATCAGCTGCCCTGGCAGCCACAAAAATAAAGCAATTTAGCCATTTCCCACTAAGGATCAAAGCTTCCTCTGAGCAAGGTTATCACAGTGGGCATCTCTCCCACCATGTGGATTCTTAACTTGACACTAACTTACATGTGGATTTCTGTTCTTCCTGCAATCGTACTGTAGTATCTGCACAATGCTTTACTAGGAAATGTATTTTCATGATTTTGGAAAAAATCAGTCAGTGTCAAGTTCTTCAGTGCTGCTTAACTGCGCTGTTGAGATGTCTAGTATTTCATCCCCTTTTCTGTATTCTTGAATCATGGCAGATTTTAATTTGGCATCAGTTGGTGACCTGCCATCTGTATTTCCAGGGTACTCAGATATAGCATGTTACTCATAGTTCAGTTTTTAAGTGTTATAAATAGAGAGCTCTGGCAACAATCAAAGCTGTATAGTGTTTTTTGTCTCCTATTTCCATTGAAAATTTTATTCTGCAGTTTTTGTTAATTATGTTTGCTGTATTTCTTTTGCTGTTGGAAGGATTCAGATAACCTAACAGTTATCCAATTTCTTTCTGGGTAGAATGGGCCATCTAGCCAGAGACGAAGATTCAACCCACAGCACCAAAACATACGTCTCAATGGATCTCTTAAGTCACAAGGTGCCAGTAATGAGGCAGATCAAAATAATGTAAAGAGTGGTTCCAGGGCTGAACACAGAAGACAGCAGCATAACAGCTTCAGATCTAAAAATAAAGGAGCTATGAAAAATCAAGAGCAGTCTGCAACTACAAGGACCATAGAGAATCCAACACATTCAGAGAAGACCCGACGAAAGCATCATACACCAGACACCGCAGATCACAGGCCTTTCCAAGGCAGTGTTGGCAGGGTGTCGCAATGCAATTTATGTCCTGCAAGGATGGAGGTCTCTGCTGATGCCACTGTTCTTTCAGTGCCAGCTGTGACTTTGGTGGCTTAAAACGTCACGGTGATGGCAGGCAGAAAAATTTAATCTCTTCACTTCAGGTTCTTGCCCAAGATGCTTGTTGGTGAAGAGACTAAATCAGAACATAGTCATTTTAAATCTGTTGCTGCTTAAAACTTGTTGGTATCTTTATTACTTACTAATTAGCAAAATTAATTCATACTTTCAAGGCCAAATATTTTGGGCACAGTTATTTTGTCATTGCAGTACAGAATCTTACCAAAGCAGCATCTAATTCATAGAAAAATGAAATCTAGATTGGAAAAATAAATTTATAATTAAATTCATAGTAGCAAAATCCTGTTGTAGATATGTGGTTATACCAGTCAACATTATTGGTTTTTAGAGCAGCCTGTGTTAGAAGGGTCACAGGAAGTCTGTATGCTGTGGTCTGCAATGAAATCAGATAATCTTGTACAATTTTTCAGCAAATCTCTATACACCTCTTTTTTTCTGTGCGTGTATACACGTACATGCATGCACACTGTATACACAGAAAGTATTGTTATATACAAGAACATTTGAAAAAGCAGTACATCTGATTTTAGCTTATTATTCCATAATCTGAGATCTTTAAATTCAAGTATAAATTGTATTAAATGTATTACATATTGGTATTTTTCATTGACAAACTATTTTTATGAGGCTGAGGAAAAATGCTCATTTCTTAAGTTTGGAATGTACATAGTCATGGCTAATCAGACACACAGCCCTGTTCTCCATCCTTATCAGCCACTTTTCTATGACTAGTTGGATTTATTTTTTTGCATATGAAAAGTTGCAGGTGTTCTAGACTTGAATCCAAATTATTTTTCTATATTTTTGCTGTAGAAACCATCTGTCCGTAACGAGAGCTACAACTAATAAATTTGTTACAGCAACATGCAGCAGAATGTGGAGGTACATATTTGAGCAGAGACTACATCCTTTCGAGTTTTCTATTAAAATAAAAATCTTACTTAGTCTTAATGTTCTGATTCTGTATTTCAGAAAGCCTGTTTCTTCCAAAAATTAAAATCTTCTTTTTAAAATATTCTGGTGTTTTCTGCTTTGCAGTGGCTAACCTTTGTGATCTTATTCAAATTGTATTTGCTTAAATTGAGCTGGTATCAGTGGGAGGCTTTCAGCTGAATTTAGATTGGACTAGGCTTTTGCTTTTAGCTAGACTGCAATTCCACAAGTGCACAGAACAGAACCTTCCCATGAGAGCCACCTCCATCCTGGACATACTTTTAATATAAGTTGTTATTTAACATAGTAAGGTGTCAGAATCCAGACCTGGCATCAAGTGGACTAGTGGCCCAAGTGTTAGAATTGGAAGGGTGCAAAAGGTCAGTAAGACTGACCTCCCATGGAGGTCAGAAAGAGCAGGACACTTGAGTGTCTAAAAGTTTATTCCTAGGTTATTGTTTGCTACTGCTTTTTACCAATTTCCTCTGCCTAATTTCTGTTAGCTGACTGCACGCTTCCTTAGTTCTGACTGGTTTACTTTTTCCCTGTGGCCCTTGAAAATTAATCTCGAAGTGTAGAGCGAGGTGCATTCCTTACAGGTGATTTTGGTAATGTTTTTTTCTCTTGATATCTGTATACAGTTCTCCACATGTGAATATTGGTAAAACCTAATTCTAAAAGGCAAATAACTCACCTCCGTCTGGAAGAGTGGTGAAAAAAAAATAAATGTGCATAGGTTAACACTGGCTTCCTTAGCATCGCAAGCACTGCTTCAATCCTAGTTAATTACCAAACGCTCTTTTAAGGTGAATGTTTTGAGTAAATGGAACTGAAATTCCAGAATCTGTGTTGTGCACACCCATCAGATTGGTAGCTTTTAAAAATTTATCTGCTGCCTTACAGTTTGACCTGTAACCTCACTGTAAGAGATGTAATTATAATTTCCATGCAGATAATATGCAGGAATCTTATTATATTGTCCTTACATAATTTGTGAAACTTATTTACTTGTCTTCTTGTAACTACTCTTAAACAAAAAAAAAGAAAATCTAACTTATCTATAATGACTTTTACTCCCTCCTTATAGCGTCTCTGCTTGACAGGATTATTGACAGTTATTTTATTCCATAAGTCAGCTTCTCACAAGCAGGCTTCTGCAAATAAATAAAGTCTGTAAGATAAGTCGTAACTCGGCAGAACAGGACCACCTTGCGCTCTTCAGTACCAGCTAACCTTTGATGTACTGGAGGCTCACTATGTGACAGACCCAGGACCCACAGGTGAGAGATGGCATTTCTCTTCAGACAGTGACGGAAACACGTGTTCTTTGAGAGATGCAGGTGTGGATTTGGTTGGGCTGGGGAGTGGGCTGGTTCTGAGAATGCTACTGTCTTAGCACACCAAGCGTGGTTTAGTATTGCAGTACATGTTTTAATTGCATTACATGCTCTGAAGTACAGCTGTGTCAGAACAGGATCTCTTCATCTTTCATTTTTTGGGCCTCTGTATGCTTGGAATTGTATCTGCCAGTTTTTACTGTTCACAATACTTGTAAGTAATCAGATGGTCTTGGACCCATCTTCAACAGAACTCTCTGTATCTTATAATTACAGAGCTAGCGACGTGCAATGCTCCTTTTAATGTAAGGGATTTGTACAGGGGTCAGTGAAGGAATGAAGAGCAGGACAAGGCTTGACTTTTAGGCCAGCCAGTCTTTTTTTAAAACGGCACCCTCAATTTGCAAAGCAAATACAGCAGTTTGGATCACTCAAACAAAAACATGGAATTCCCACTGCACTTTGTACACTCTTTCAAAAGTGGGAACACACCTTGAGGGGCAGTATTTTAAAGCAGGTTGAATCTGTTTTTCTGTGTAAGATTAAACTCAGAGTAAGGGCAGAACTCAGCAAAATAAAGGACCAAATATGTAGTTGGAAAACTAAAAGGAGAAGGTAACGTAACAGAGCCAAGCAATTTGGAAAACTTAACATTAGTTAGGCATCGAAAAAAAAGTTAAAAAAATCACTTGATGTGTTTGAAAATGTCGCTCTGAAAGAGAAGCTATTAATTCTGGAAGGGAAACACTGTTCTTGTAGTGCTTTCTTGGACCCTGTTTTTGTAGGGGAACAGCTGGTCTGAGCTTGTATGGATGGCAGTTCTTATTGTGAGTCTGTTTCCCCATGTAGCGACTGGGCTGCATCAAGATTTTAAAAATCAGCTACATCCTTCCTGCTCATATATTTGTGACTACAGCAGAGGCACTATGGGCCCTGGCCAGAGGTCTGAAGTTCCAGTACTGCTGCCAATTACCCCTGTGAGGATATAACAGAAATTTGCCAGAAATTTGAGACAATACAGCTATTTCATTATGGCAAACTACTAAAACAAACTGTACTAAAATGTTCATGTATGTTGTACCAGAGACTAGGACGAGTGAGAAGATGCATATATAGGAAAGGGGGAACTTCGAAACGGGCCAGATCTGTAAGAAGAGATATCCAAAAAGCTCAGAAAGCAGCAGAGGTCTGTAGCATCAGCCTTACCTGTTTCTACTGCATAACATCTGTTATTAAAAGCTGTTGCCCAAAATGCATTTAGATTTTCTGGGGCTTTATTACCACAGAGTATTTACAGGGTTTTAGTTCTAACCACACTTTGACTATGTAACTGCAGCAGAGGCACAGAGAGCTTCCCTCACAAGTTTCTGATGGCATAAGTAGCCTCCTGTTTTATTCCTGAGAATTTGTCCTTCGTGGATTGGGAAGAACTAAGTAGATGGAATCTGCTTACTCCTGGGTAATGTTAGTATTTCTTTTTAGCCATTATAAGATTTGAACTACATAATGTTTATTATCTAAGCAATTTAATGTAGGCCAGTTTAAAAGAGTACTTTTCTGCTCTGGAAGAGCTGGTAGGGAAATAACTGGAACCATTTGAAAGAAAAAAAGAGGCAGCTTTGGTATTTCCATGGCTCTTCAGCTAAAAACAAGCCTGATGAAAACTCAGTCCCTGAGGATCAGTGGTAACATGTGCCTATCACATGAAACAATGTCTGCTTGCTTACATCAAGTACAAAGGAGTTCTCCGTACTCAGAAGCAAACAGATAGAATTACATCTGGTTGAATCATATCTTGGGGATAATAGGCCCTCCGCATCACAAGACCACGTGTAATCACAGAGGAGTAATTTTCTAGAAATTTAACTTGGAGTCATATTTTTCTTGTCTCTTTAACACATATGATGCCATATCAGTGATGGTTTGGAAAGACAGTAGTGTGAGAACTAAACAACTGGAAAATTGACAGCATTTGTGAGAAAAAATGTAATGTGTCAAACTACACTGGTGATACAAATGTCAGTGTTTAGAGTGCAGCCGTTACACTCTAGTAACCATTAGATTACTAAATTGGAGTAACTTTCTGAACATGGTCTTTTCTGAATATGACTTCATCTATAATGAATTGTGATTTTACAAAGATTCAGAGTAAACCACTGTCACACCACTTGAAAATTGCATCTAATCCCAACTATAGAACTGCTGCTCACCTTTAGCAGTTTCCCCAGTCAGACTGTCCGGTATGTACATACAGTGTATCAGAGTTTATCAGTGCAAGTGCAGTTCCAGCTGGTACTTCGTTAGTTGAGTTAGACAAGTGAAATGTTAAGAAACATTGAGACTTCTAAGAAACCTGGGAACATACAGTTTTGAGGAAGTTTCAACCTGCAGGAAACTCAGACTTGCAGAATTTCTGGTCCTTGTTCCAGGCCTCAAAACCACAGTCTGTTAGCCAGGTTCAGGGATGACTTGTCCTTGGACTGGCAAATTTCATTTATTTTCAGCTACTGGCCTCCCAGAGAGAAGATGAAATTCTATTTTATTTCCACATTTTAAAAGGCTTTGGGTAGATAAGGGCAAAGCTATTTCTACAGTGAAAGTCACCATGAAGGTTAGTGCTATTCAGCTATCGTAAAACTGTTTAATATCAAGCCCTCAGTTAAGAGAAACTTAGCAAAATGCACAGGTATAAAAAACCACGCCGAAAGTGCCTACTCAGATAAGGTAAAAGGCCATGTTTGCACCTCATCAAATTAAAAATAAATAAATAAAATCACGTCCCTCAAAAATAATTAATCTTTCTCTACCTCCCACCACAGACACTTTCCTGTTTCATCTATGAAATTCAAGGGAGTTTTTTTGTTGGTTTTTTTTCTTTTTCCCCTTTTAACCACAAGCCAGTATGACTAGGACAAAGAGAAGACTCATTAAAGCTACTGTAATGCAAATGACACAAATGTTACTTGAAAAATGCTGTGCTACCAGATAATTAAAACACTGAGCTAGTGCATACTCAGAAGTCCTGTAGGATTATTCTCAAAGCTTTTTTCTTGTACACATGCAAAATTCCATACTTTTTCTGAGCTTCAGTGTGATGTTGGACTCTATGATCTTAAGGATCTTTTCCAACCTAAATGATTCTATGTTTATAGAAGCCTTCTAAATTCATCAAAAGTTGACGAGGACAGAAATCTGGTTTAGGGAGTACTGCAAAGTTTTAAAGGTGCATGGTAAAGTGTTCAGCTATTCAATAAACAGTGAAGTAGAAGTCACAGAAAAGTATTAAAAACTGCCTTTCATTCAGATTATTACGAAAAATAAATTTCATAACTTTAGTGTCAGTGATGAATTGCATGCTCAAAGAATAGGAGATTACATTATGTTAGCATCTTCCCATAATTTTTGCCTTGTCCTTTCTTCAGTGAAACATTTTTATTGGGATAGGAAAAGTCTTGGGATTGTTGCTCTAGATTTAAGAAAAACCACTAGCGTAAAGATTCTAAAGGTAAGCTGGTCTTCAATTTATACACCAATAACAGAAATTAAAGTACTGCACACCTTTACAGGGAGGGACTATTGTTCATAGCAAAGTGTCTCCTTAAAAATATTTTAGTACATGAAACTGTGGTTTTCACTTGTGCAAACAATGTTTCAAATCCCTGTGGTTAGAAGAAAAGCCTGGAAATGTGATCGCTACTAACTGATCTAGAAAATAAAACATTTAAAGAAGGCTTCTGCAATTCTAATAGTCTCAGGAATTTTAAGAATGTTGTATTTTGGCAATGTGATAGGACTTCTCCATGTTTAGGGTCAGCTGTATTTACTGTGCTGGAAAAGCAAAAGCAGTAGCAAAACAGAAAAACCCAGCACACAGCTGTAAGCAACCAAGAGCACAAAAGCCAGGTTTAATTTGCTGATGTAAACAACTAAAAGGGCTTTTTAAAAACAGTGAGGCAAATCCAGCTTTCCTCTGCTGACAGAAACGTACAGCAGCTCTTCAGTATTGTTACTCAAAATTTACCTTGGTACAAGGAGGTCTCATCTATCCTCCTCCTATGGGGGAAGGAGGGGCTCTTCTCTTTCTTCAAACCAGGGCACCTCTGTTGTCACTGCTATGCTGCACAGAAGTTGAGCTTGTCCCCTCCTCATTTGAAAGGGCCTGCAGAAGGAAACTGCAGAAGGCCAGCTGTACCTCAGACCTGCGAGGTTCCCTGCAGCTGCAGAAAACTCGCCCCACAGAGGTGTGTGCCTGCAGCAGCCTCACACCTGTGGCAGATCACACCACGTCAGGGAAGCAGTACCTGCACGTCTTGGGCCTTTTTCTCACTGCACACAAGCAAAGGCAGCCCTTTTCTTTGCTGTTAATAACTAAATGGTGACTTCTTTTCAGGAGTACCAGTAAGTGCATTCAACTTCTGGAACCTTCACAGTACTCAGTATGTTGCGTGCTTGTGGCAAGCTTGTATCTAAGAAAAGCTGCTACTTGTTATCTGGTTTTCCCCACTTTAAAGATACAAATTAAGGAAATTACCTCTCATTAATGTTCACTGTAGTTAAAGTTGATGAAGAGGTCTTTTGTGCAGTGCAAGTACTTCCTTTAAAAAGGTCAGTTGTACTAGTACAGCCTGACAGAAATACAGATGTGAGATACCGTAACATTACACTGCACGTGCTCTGTATTTGAGGGGGTTTTTTAATACAGTTTTCTTCCTCCCTTCCCAACATCTAAAAAACATTTAGAAATAAAGCAGAAAACACACTTCAGTGCTCACTCAAAACAATTTCTCCCTGTGCTTTTCACAAACTTTTTCATCCTAATTTTCTACGAAATCTTTGAATAAATGACCACATGAGACAATGATCTCTTCTTTGACCGCATGATGCAAAGCTATCCAGTCTATCAGGCCAAGTCAAGCATTATCCATCCACTTTATCATTCTTAAGCTTAGTATTCTCTGCTAATAGAGCTGGTTCGTTTAGTACAACAGATGTAGCAGGAATTTCAACAGCAGCACTGTCCTGTTCACTTGATTTACTGGATACAGAAGAAGATGGCTGAGATGCTGTCACAAGAAAAAGTGGAGTTCGCTTCAGCTTTACTACACGGCTGCTTACGGGCTTCCTAGACACTGCGATCTTGAACGACATTTGACATGGTGGCCCAGTGTCAGCACTCGGCCTTCCACAGGGCACCTGGGAACTGCTGGGCACCGATGCGTGTGTTGGGGGTGCACTTTCAGAAGTTAGTTTGTGCAGTGTCAGACTTTCACTGCTGGGTCGTTTCAGAGTCACTGCAGAACGTGAAGCACTGCAAGCAGCTATCTTCAATGCAGCTGAATTCTTGACTTTGATATGGGTACTCGTTGAGGGGCCTGAGAATCTAATTGGCTTGGGACCTGCTTTACATGGTAGATAGTCTTCCTCCTCAGTAAAGTCAATTAATCGTCTGTAAAACAAAGAACTTCAATTAAAGAAACAAAACTATGAACATAAATTGTTCTTTTTAAAACATTATTAGAAAACAGACATTCTGCGACAGCCATCCACAAATCTGAAGTTCTTTTAGTTTTCACTTGTTACAATAATATAATTTATGGTTCTCAACTGTTCATCGCGGTAATCAGGCTTGGTTTTACATGAATAGCACCACAATCATCTTCTACCTCTGTAAGTAATATTACACGTTAAAAATTGTAAGAAAATATTAAAATGCTACAGATTCCATCAGACACAAAATCCGCTAAATACTAGTCTGGTGTGTTTTAGCTACAAAAATGTAAGACCCAACTGCACATAAACACAAAATGTAGAGTTCCACACTATGTAATTTGAGAAAAGAAAGAGATTGATTCTTTCTCACTGCCCTATTTCTTTTCAACACAAATGATTATGGACAATCAATCTAGGATAAAATGTTTTTTTTAAAAAAAAGAACCGATGTAAGAAAGCCTATGGAGTCTCATGGCAACTCTAATTGGTACAAACAGACTGCATTTTTAAAGTATTATATAAATGCTGTTTCTCAGTGTTAGCAAAGAAAAATGGACAAGACACCTAGAAGGTTTTAATTCCTCAAGGAAATAATAAATGATGCCACAGATACCCAGGTCACGCTAAAACAGCAGAACAGGATGTTGGAGAAACCTGAAACTCAACAAAACAAAAGCTAGGCCAGGCCAGGTCAGAGGGATGATCAGTAAATATAAGTCAAAATCATTTTTGGAGAGATGAGGAAAGAGGGCAAAAGAACAGAGACCAAATTAAACTCAGAGAATATTAACAACACATTTAAAAATGTATCAAAACAAAAGCTGTCAAACTGTGGCTTTATTGCTGGCTCCAACGTGGTGTAAAGCTACTAAAACCTGGTAGTAGGAGAAAGAACATGTATGAATGGGATTATATCTAGATTTTGAGCCAACAAAAGCTGTAGTTTTAACTGATGTGATTGTCAGGAATAAAACATTTAGCTGGTGGGTTGGTACTGTAAACAGGCTATGAACTGTGAGACCCACTAAAGAACCACTTAAAAGATACACTACAAAAGCATTGATGTTCTTCCGGGTACTTGCATTTTGGATTTTAAAAATCTGTGAAATGCCACAGGGATTCATACCAAAAGAATAAACAATATCTGAGAGTAATATTTCTTATTATTTCTCTTATAAAACTGGTATATGGTGACACTTCCAACAGAAAGCCTGCAAATAACCTAGTTCTTATAATGAGTCCAGGGAGGTTCTTCTCAGAGCCATAAGGTGAGAACGCATTCTCAACGTCTGCACATCCTAGATCAAAAGAACCACCAAAACAAAAAGGAAAGCTTAAACATTCAAAGATCTGGTGATTTAATAGTAGCAATGAAGTGCTGGTAAAATATCATCAGCAATTACATTCATTTACAATATTTCAAGACAGTATATGGTCTTGCCAGGATCACTGCAGTACCTCAGGAGTTTTAGCTGACACCTGAACATAGTTTTGTGATGGCACAGAAGACAAATCAAAGCAGAGACATGGGAGATAAAACAGGTAGTGGTAGTAGAGGAGCATTCAGGAATATATGTAGGCTGTTTGGCAATCCAGGGATCAAATGATCACAGTCCTTCCTATTTGAGCTGTAAAAAGCAAAGAATGCGGTATCCAAAAAAAAAAAAAAGGGGAGGATGGTGAGACAGGAGTTTTCAGTTTGGATCATTGTGCTGATGTGGCTCCGTGGCTGCTGCTGAAATGAGAGTGTGGCCAGGGACAAGGACTGTCAGCAGGATCCTCTTCTATCTAGCAGCAAAGTGGCTGTAGAGTGTCTTAGATCAACTGTGTAGCTGCACCTGCAAAGGCTGCTTTTAGGTAATGTACTGAGAACACACTCAGAAGTATCATTGTAAAACTGCAAAGAAGAAATTCTAGAAATTCCTTCTAAAAAAGAAGGGCATCTTGCATTGTGAAAATCAATTAACCTTTTACAGTTTCAGTAAATTTCTTTTTTAGCAGTCCACTTAACTAATAACTGCTCTCTAATGACTCCTTCCCATTCTAAAGTGATTTTTAAAGGCTGAAGAATAGAGAAGAGCTTCAGCAGCCTAAAAGTAATTTGTTTCTAGCAAAGTCAGTCCTGCAATTGCAATTAAGCACTCCGATTATAAGACAGTTTATAAAAATGTAAATAGAAAAAACAGAAAACTCAACATCCATAGCTATTCAAAGAACCTGAAATTATTTTTTTAAAAAGAAAAATAAAAAGATTGTGCTTTATTTTAAACCACCTATGCAAATCAGCATACCTTTTATGAACTGGAGGCATATGATGCAAACTGCCTCTCAAAGGGCGTTCTTCAAGAGTCCAACATTCAATCAGCTCCTGAGGCACTCTCCAGTAGCTGACACCTGCATTTTGAAGGGATATTGTATTGATAAGCTGAGAGAACGTAGTCAACGTTATGTGTTTATACACCTGACTAAATGAATGCATGTATTTTATTGTGTAGAATTTCAGCTTTGAAAACTATGCCGACGTGAACGTTGCTCAGAGCCAACGTGCTTCTAGGGCTTCCAGCAGAGTGCCCACCACTAGTAGGCTATCGCCCCTTGCAAGTGGTGGCTCTCACTGCATCTACTCATTCATGTCACCTTGCTGGAACATCTCTAGAGGCTTTTTTTTTTTCTTCTCAAATAGCCAGTACTATGGGATATTTTACAACATGTTGCTTACTGAATGAGTGAAAATGTATGCAGAGTTTTTATTATAGTTAATTGGCAAATATTTTTCTTATTTTCTGTAAAAAAGTAGTACTACTGAAATAGAAGAAAAAAAAGTAATACTCTACCTCTCCCTTCCCAGGCATCGAAAGCATCCATCATCTTTTTCAATTCAGCTACTGAGTAATAGCTCCAGATATATTGGATGTTATTTCCAGCTTCTCTAGAAATATTGTTTTAAAGGTAACAGTTACGTGGTAAATCTAGCTAAATCCTTAAAAATACAACACTGATTAAACGTATCATTCTTTTTACCAAATCCTAACCATAAGGATTTAATAGTAAATGTTTTGTTAAGTAGAAAGGAAAATGTTACTTAAATTTCATTTTTATTTGTGTAAGAGGTTCTAAACAGACATCCTGCTATGGTCTGCATGCCTGTGAACACCTATTGTTAAAAACAGGTACTCATGAAATAGATGTTCATAAAAGAATAATTACAGAATTAATGGTGTAAAATCTGTTCTTCTAAATCTCAATCATTTATTCAAAGGGAAAACACAGTAGGAAGACAGATACCTGACACTATGTGTCCAAATACTCGTGGAATAAATATTAATGTTCCCAGCCTAAATTTAGTAAAATAAGCATCTTAATTATAAAAGATGATGAAACATCAAAAGCTCTATCTTAATCATGTTTCAGAAGGTACACAGTGAAGTACACAGCTGACACTGTACTGTGGGACCAAGAGAAAAACAAATTGCCTACAGGCACTCAGAAGCACAGGTCTACCAATAGCTTACAATGACTGTCATAAAAACACATTAATAGTGCAGTAGAGATGTACATGTCCTTTAAAGAATTAAAACCATTTCCTTTCATCTTCAGTTCTTTTCAGTGTTGAACATTTCTTTCAGCTGTCTTAGAAGACTGCAAAATACAATTCCATTAATCACAACCAACTTTGTGAATATTTCTGAAACTTTTTCTGGATGGAGATTCAATCACTGTATTTAGTGTGAATATTGTCCTAAATTAGGAAGTAATTTTAAATGGTTGAGACATTTTAAAAATAGCAAGTAAAACATAATGAGAACTTACAGCAACTGCATGCTAGCCACCTTTTGTGGACTCCCTCAAATTCTTGTACTACATGATCAGTCTTTATCTTTTTTTTGCTGTTTTTTTTGGATTAATGTGACCATTGTATTAGCCAGCTGTTCTCAAAGCTGGAAAGAATCTGATTCCTTCCACAAATTTATAGTACAATAATGCTATATTATGCTACATATAATAATATTCAGGTATTATTATAATATGTGAGTGCTCATTCTCACTTCATAGTGCTTTCATGTGTTTGAGAGTCATCTTACCTTTTGTAAATGCTTTTACTATGAATTTTTGTTCCTAGCTCCTTATTAATTGCATCAGTCCCATCAGCTCTTGTGGCATACACACCAATAATTTTACTTTCACAGCTTGCTCCAGAAGTGTTGAGATAGTGCAGGACCCAAACTGTAGGCTTGGTACAAACTAAATCGTAAGAATTGCAGAAATCTAACAAAGCCTGCAAAAAACATAAAACACAAAATACAGAATATTAATACGAATACAATATTTTTAGTTGAGTAAGCTTATATTTTTAAGTTTTCTTGACTGTGCTGGTGAGCTCCTTTAAGTAAATCAAGGATGTAGTTTATCTAGAATAATGTGTGCAGTATTTCTTACCTGATGTTACCAGAGAATATTGTAAAATTAGGAGAAATTCATAGAAAGGCAACAGAAATACTTGAAGGCATGTCAAATCCTTAATATGAAGAGAAACTGAAAGGCCTGGAAATGTTTTGTGTTTTTCAAAAGGAAATTAATAAGGGAGAATGTGAAATATATGGAACAATAGCTTACTAAGAGAACACAGATCACAGTCAGGACTAACACAGCCATACTTGGTAATATGAATTCATTTCTAATCAGTTAATTACAATTAGCTTTTAAGTTACAATACTCTAAAATAGAAAAACCATGAGATTTTAAATACTATATTAATTTTCTCCTTTCTTGTTCTAAAAAAATGGCAAAGTACATTCTCTCTTTCAAGTTTTCACGTGAATTTGTAAAACTGAAAAAAAAAAACCGCTGAACATCTTGAAGGGATCAAATCCAATCTCAAGTAAAATTTGAAGCCAAATAGGGAACTAAACAATGTCATTCCTACCATGCAAGTTTTTACAACAGGCTTGTATGTAAAACAGTAAAATTTAAACTGTTGCTGTATTGCAATCATGGGAAAAGCTGATGTCCTTAACTGCTATGACTGCAACATGAACTCTAGGATTTCTTAACCTAAAACTCTGAATTTACTGGTGATTTAACGTGGCGACTAAAAAGTGCTAACTTGCACGTACGGTAGTTTTAGTATCTGCTGCTAATGAATGATGTACATTAGAGAGTACACCTTAAAAAATGTAAGAAATGTCAAGACCTTTTTAAGTTCTATATTTGACCTTAAAGAATACGTCTCCATTTCATTAGCCAAATGGTCAGACAGACTGTATGGATAAGGGATGCCAAAATAATCTGCTTCCTCCTGCAGTGCAATTCGAATTTGTTCATCTTCAGGAATCCGAACTTCTCCATGAAGAAAATCCAAAAGATATTTAAACAAGCTTCCATCTCGATCAATTAGACATGCTCCTGAAAACATAAATAAAATTATTTAAAATACTGCTTCCAGCAAGCAAAGACAGACTTGTCATATTCTACCAAATCATGAAGTAAAGCCTTTATACAAAACTCTGTACTAGTTTCACTTAGGAGGAGTAAGTATACTTGCTCTATTCTTTCAATATATATACTGTTTTGTTTCCCTGGAATATTTGTTATTTGAAGATAAAATTCCTAGTGCAGTAAACACTGCTTTGGAATTTCAGTGAAATCACTAATCTGCATAGGACCATGCCAACATACAACCTCAGTTGTATTGCACTCCACTTAAAATGCTAAAATCTAACTCTAGATGCATTTCTTATTCTAACTGCAGATACACCTTTTCTTTGCAGAGAATTTTTACAATTTTGGAACTAGACAATTTAAAAGAGTTAGAAGTAGCATCAGCTCCAGTATAAATCTAGCCTAGCCTTCCATGAGTATTTGATCAAGTTTTACAGTAATTTTTGTTTCTTTTTCTCCCCTATGCTTGCTGGGCTGAAGGACCACTACAGAAACTGACCACACCATACACAGCTGTACACAAGAGGCTGTTCACTGCAACTGGAAGGTAGCAGCAAAGCCCTGCCCGTAAAAATGTTAAACATTTCAGATATTTTAAACAGCCAAAACAACAAGGAATCACTATTCTCCACCCATCATATCTTTAAACTGGACGTGCTTTGGCAGGATTTCCAAGTCACAAACAAGTATAAATTTGACTCATGAATAGTTTTATTCAAACTTTTGTATCAAGCCATGGTGGTGAAAAATGAAATCTTTACTGGGTAATTACGTATTCTGAAATGAAGATGAGATTCAAAGCTTATGTAAAGAACAGAGAGAGAGAGAGAGAGAGATGCCTTTGGAGAATACAGGGGGTCGTAAACAGGATCCAAGTTAAACACCAAATACTCTGCCAACTTCAGTTTTACCTATTTTCATATTCATACCGAACTAGTACATTCCAAAGCCACAGTATGCACTGTATGAAGATGTATGTTTGCAAACCTGAGTAGTCTTGTGGAATTCAGATTAATTACTCGTAAGCACGAAGTCATGCATGCATAATTGTTTTACATCCTGGAATTAAAGAAGCCAACTGATGCTCAGCAGATTGGGAAAAGAGACATACTATAAAACACATAAATATATATAAAAGCGTGTATTTGCCACAGAGCTCCCTGATCGGAATGTGATATTTACAGTTTGAATATATTTACCTGATTCATCCACTTTTAGAGGAAAGCGTCCACTAAACATAGAAGCTAGCATTGAATCCTTAAAGCGGCATAAAGACTCACGCCTGGCTGTGTATAAACATCCTCGCACATTGAGTCGTAGAATACCGTGGGCATCTTCAGTCTTGCCCTCTTCCATTGCATTTGCAAATGATGTTAATTACGAGCTATTCAAACCTGTAACAGATACAAACAGAAGTAAATCAAATGCGAGTTAAGACTGAATATATTACATGTAAGACCTAAGCGTTAACTCAGCTCTTAAATGTTTGTTACACGATACTGTAAATCAGCTTTGAAAACAGTTCTGGAGATGTATTAGTGCAAATAGCCAAATATTCTGCTCATTTACTATAAAAAACCCCTGTTAATTTACTTTGCTAGGAAATAGAGACGTTACTCTTTTGAGATAAATGGGTAAGCAGAATCTTGTGGTATGTGTGAGCAGAGCACTGGAAGGACGTTCTGGGAAATCTTGAGTATAGTTCACTCAAAATGCAGTAATTTTGTATAACACCTTGGCTTCTTTAAAATCGGATCTTTAATTAGGGCTGCTTTAACTAGTTGTTGAAGCTGTCATGTCATTAATGCCACATTGCCAATAAATAGTCTTACTTGTGCCTGCCTTGAGCTCCCTGCTGGAGGGGGCCCCTGTCTGGGCAGAAAAAAATTGGCCTAAGAAGCAGAAGAAAATCTTCAAAAGGTTGGTTGGGTTTGGGTTTTTTTTTTTTTAAGAGCATGTCCTTTGAGGGGTACTAACTCCCACTACGCGCCTTTCGCCTGGGCAACTGCTATTGTTTCACCAAAACTAACTGATGAACTCGGGAGCCCGCTGGGCAGCCGCCCCCACAGCAGGCCGGGGCACTCCCTCCCTTTCGCGGGGCGCTGCTTCGTCAAAAAATGGGGAAGCCCACCCCCG